GAGGATAGGGCTGTTTCAAGAATTAAATCTATAACAAAGTTAAATAGAAACAGAGAGAGAGAATGCAACCCTGTCGAACACCACTTTCGGTAGTGAACTCAGGTGAAAAAGTGCCGTAAGCTCAGACTTGGCTTCGGCTATTAGTATGAAGGGATTGTGGTATTAAAATAAACTCTTCAGACACACCAAACAAGGATAGGCAGCGCCAGACTTTACAGCGTTCGACTGAATCGCAAGACAGATGGGAAAGATGGTTTTCTAAATGGGTACCCAAGACTTTAGGGCACGGCATACTTCGCGGTAGCCCACACCGACGAAGGGGTTTTTCTTTGGGAACCCTAACCGGAGCCTTTGACTCAAAAGTCTGACCCATAAGGCAGTGGGGCGTAAATCCAACGCGGGAGCGTGAACGAAGCACCCGTGTGGGAGCTTCTAGAGACCTGTCACGCAAGGCCTTTGAATTTCGATTAATTGTGTTGTTCGCTGGTGCGTTGATTTTCGGTCCGCTTTTCGGGATCAGCCCTTAGCCTCATGCACCCAGTGAGACATGCGGAACGTGGACGGGACAGCACCTTATTGGCTGGGGGCTGCCCAGCTTGGGTGGGCGGTAGCTGTCCAATGAAGTGCGAAGACTTCTCCCACCGTCGAGAGGAAGCCCCAGGTACCCCGCTCCTACGTCCATCTAGCGGGGGTTTTTCGACCGGTAAACTGCCCCTCACCGTGTTTATTTGCTGGAGTGGCCTCTCCAGGGGCGAGTGTGGATAGAAGAAAGAAGCCAGGGGGTGCCCAAGCAGCTGGCTTGTGAGACTGAGCTTCGTCTGGCCTCTACCCGTTGACCTTTCAGGCATGATTGGATCTCCGGCTGTGAAAAGCCATCCTGTGTAGCTCGCAGGGTCACTGAGGCGCGCAAGCCATCACACCACGTCAAGGTGCAGTCTCGGTGCACGAAAGTGCATGGTTAATGGTTGTAAAACTGACTGAACTGAACTGAACCGCAAGCCGCTTTGAGATAGAGGAACATGGAAATGGTGGGTCTACGGAAGGAGTGTCGGTGTTCTAGGATAAAACGGAGTGAAGATGTGGTCGATACAACCTCGATCAGATTAAAAACCGGCCTGGTTCTCACGTGTGTGCACTGCCTACGGGCCTAGACAATCAACGGAGTATGATCCCAGGGAGAAGTTCAGGGGCAACGTTAGTGAAACTAATCCATTTGTGGTGTTCACAAGAGGACTTGTAGCCTTTCTTGTAAATCGGTATAATCACCGATTCACATCATCCAATCACATCCTATATCCGGTGCCTCCCAAAGCCTCAGTATGGTCCGGGGTGGGTGTCTAGGGTTGCGGTTGGTCACTCACTCTTACACCTCGCGAAATGCTCCGTTCGACCAAGCGTCTCAAATAGCCTATGCTGAGGAAGCCCTACTCACTGCCTTCTCGTGGCGGAGGTGTTTCCCCACCGAAAAGAGAGGACGAAAAGCCGAGCCCCGGGGCTATAACCGGGTTGGTGAACCACTGGTAGTTCACCTAGGGGGAGTTGGCTAAAAAGCCTGATTTTAAACCAACCAAGGAGAAGCGTAAGAACCACACGCACACCTTCCTGGTAGCGGCAGTGGTCACCGGCTCAATTGGGCACCTTGAACGTTTGATCGCGTCCAAAGAGCGTATGATCCGATGAACTAAACACCGGCCCCCAGTGGGTGGCGGTTATTACATACCTCCCCGCTTCTCTGTGGGTCAGGCTTTGGCTAGCCAAATGCTCAGGTAGTGGATTCCTCGAAAACATTCACCTGCTTTGTCTTGGGTAACCTGGCAGTATACCGCCCACATGCAAATCATGGAAAATGTTTCATTTTGATAAAGATTATTATGCCATGATTTGTTAAGCACAGTCGAGCGTCATACGTGATATATATATATATATATATATAGAGAGAGAGAGAGAGAGAGAGAGANCAATTTTAGAACTATCTTGGCTGGTGATGATGGTAATCTAGCGGTTTGAGTCGCTGTTTCTGGCACGCAGATGTCATCATCATCGGGACTAAGATCCGGGACTCGGTTCGTTGGTTTCTGTAATTGAGCAGTAGGCCGAAGTGAACGGATTTCAGTGGTTCTATTGTTCATCACACTTCGTTTAGGAATGGAAAGTGATTTAAGTCGTAAAACATAAAACGTGAGCCTGCTGACCCTCAGAGAAACATCATTAACGAGGTCAGACCGTGTGAGATTACGGTTAAAAATAATACCAAGGTATTTGACAGACGGTTGTCGGTCACTGAGGATAGATAAAGGCGGGCTGGCGTTTGATAATTCATCACAGTTTTTCCCTTTCAAAAAGGAAAAAGATACATTACATTTTTGGGGTTCGCGCGGAGGTTCCTTTTTTGAGACCACTCAACTATTTTAGACATGTCTTCTTGTACAGTGGTTTGAAATGATGAGTTGGGGTAGGGCAATCCGAATGTTATATAGTCTGCATACTAAACGAGAAGAGAAGAATTGCTCACAGACATAGACGAAATGTAAGCAGAAAATAGAAAAGAGGGTAAAATAGCGCCATGCGAAGATAAACACCGACATTTACATTTCGTTCATTCAAGTTTCCATCATGTAGGGACTGTTCCTTTTAGACTAGTCATCAAGTACAGTAGTCCTGTTGACAGTCACTTGATACGACGTAGGTGTGTGGGTCATGAGCAGATAGAGCTCGTGGTTCCGGATTATAGATAATGAACAAAGGAATCGTGATTAAATTCATTGGGAAAAGGACGCTACATAAGGTAAGTCTGTTTCGATTGAACTTACTTTTCTGGTTGCGGTGAATGGGCTTTTCGTCCCAATTCTCTATTGTATTAACTCGATTGTCTGAAACTTCCTGTAAGGGTTGACGCCGTTCCAGATCGCCGGCAGATTGGTCTTGCTCGTCCTTCTTACGACGACGTCGTCGGTGTTTCTTGTGATGGGATTTGTAGCTGCGAGAAGTCGTCTCATCGTCCAGGTAGAAGTCAATAGCCGACAAGCCGGCTTCAGCAGCAGCAATTGTACTGGAATCCAGATCAGGAAACTCACTATTGGTCAGTGCAACCCGTGGAGCACCGCGTGAAGTATACAGTCCATCAGATAGACGATTTGGATGCCCCGGTGATGCGCGTGTGAAGTTACGCTGTCCAAACTCAGCTAATGCCTCCGCCTCGGCCAATTTAGTTCTGATGGGGAGAAAGTTGAAGAGGATTAGATTATACTATTTTTGATAGGAGCATACCCTAATCACTATTTGAAATAGACAATAGTAATGTGGTATCATTTGTTCAGTATGTAAAAGACGCCTTAAATTACTTGTGAGGGGAACCGCAAAACCTCTGGGCAACAACACGAATCAAAATCAAAATCTTGACATGTATTGTATCAGGAAGTCTTATTTTATTGAAAATTTATGATTCAACACTCCAAGCCCAGGATCTGAGACCTCTGCGTAACAAAGAAAACCATAGACATTTTCTGTTATTCGTATTGTATTTTGTGTGATAAAAAATTAACATTCTGAACACAATATTTACGATCTCAACATGTTGTTCAATGTATATACATATACCAACAGGTCAAACCACTAGCACCATGGAACATCTCAGTGTCGGCTTCAGTTTTTACAATCATTAACCATGCACTCCCGTGCGCCGGTTTTCGTTGCTGTCCTGTGGTTGCCCATTTGAATGAAAGAGCAGAATGGGGATTGGAATGTTTAGAGTAAATACAAGTGGAAGATGATTGATAATGACTAGGGTTGTCAAAATAATGATCAGCAGCGCGAGCGCCAATGTTTGCGACACCAAGCCGTATCACTTGGTCTCTAACGTCCAGTTACTATGATATCGGAGTCTCTATACAAGGAGCTTAACTGCAGNGTCTCCTGGTTGGGGTTTTCATGCCCTCATGCCAGGTATTCGTCTGACCGCCCTTGACCTTTTCCCAACAGTTTGAGTTCCAGTTTAGACAACCATTAAGCATGCATTTCGGTGCGACACTTTTGGTTGCTCATTTGGATGAACGGTAGAAGAAAGTCAGGAAAATTAAAAGTGAAAACGAAGAGAAAATTGGAAATTTCATTGGATGAATGTTGCAAAAAAATCTAGAAGATGCATGGATGTCACTGTTTACGACACGTAGCCATATGACTCAGTGTCCCTAACCATCGGATACGATAGTCCTGAGGTCTCCATCCAGGGAGCCTAATGGAACCTATGTGAGCCAGACTCCTGGTTAGGGTTTTCATACCCTCATGCTAGTTCCTAACTTGACCACCCTTGGCTTTATTCCATTCACTACCTGCCTCGGCAAACATCGCTCGCCGTGATAACCTACTTGGTGACATGCGTAACACATACCCCAACTAACGTAATCTATGGAGGTCGACCATTTATTCCAGTGGGCGACCGCGGTTGCCTCAGCATTGCTCGTCCGGCTGCCCCACCAGATGTACTGATGCGTAGACAGTAATGTTCAAACACCGACAGTCTATCTTTATCTTGTTTTCTTAATGGCCAAGTTTCTGCTCCATATAGCAGAACTGCTGCAGCATACACTTGACTCTTCACAGACACCCGGATGTCGCGACGGCGCCACAGATGTTTCAAGTTGGCAAATGCCAACCGAGTCTTTTGTATGAGCGACGACACTCCATTTGTGATGTGTCCATCAGGTGAGACATAACTATCCAGATAGTAAAATTTGTCTACTTCCCCAGTCAGAGTGAAGTTGAGGGTTGAACCAACCCAACCTTGTGGCTACATTTTGCACTTTGAAGGTGCAAAATGCATGCCGAATATGGCCATCCTAGCACACAAACTATCCAGAAAAACTTGCAACTAAGTAGCACAATGTTGTCTGCATACTACGGATCAGGCAGTCCGCCACCTGGGAGTAAATCGATGCCGCTATCGTCGCACGAGGATAGGGCTATTTGAAGAATCACGTCTACTGTGCAGGGACTGAAGCTTGCATTCGAGTTAAAAAACATACACGTTAATCTTCACAAAGTACATACTCAATAGGGTGAGAGAATTTTCAGTCATGGGGGAATTTCACAAATCGAAATTAGACAGAAACGGAGAGACAGGGTAACCCTGTCGAACAACACTTTCTGTAGTGATTTCGGGTGAGAAAGCGCCGTAAGCTAGGGCTCGGGATTGCAATATTGAAATAAACTTCTTGGGCACATCCCTCAGAGCGAAGCTGTGCCAGAGTTTAGAGTGGTCCACTGAGTCGAAAGCCGCTTTCAGATCGAGGAAAAAAGAAATTGTGGGTCTAAGGAGGGAGTGTCTGTGCTCTAGAATTTGACGAAGAATAACGATGTGATCGATACAACCTGGACCAGGTCTGAAACCAGCCTGGTTCTCACGCGTGCACTGTTGACGTGCGGCAGACAATCGAATGGCTCAACCTATAGTCAAAAAAGTGAATTGAAGTAAACCGATACAATTGATCAGGACACGCGTTGCCCATGGTGAAAAACCGTTTATTGCGATGTCCTCAGCTCATACCAAAATTCTGGAAAATTCTACAAAAATCAATAGATGCCACAATACATGAATTCCAGTCAGAAAGGTATCAAGTTTTACGGTCCCAAAAAAAGTAAAACAGATGGAATAGAGAATTAGATAAGTAACGCCCCAAGTTTCTAAATGAAATATCGTGACATACCGTATCTGTGTTCGCTAGAGACATTAAAGATTGTAGAACTGAATCGAAAAAAACTGCAAAAGGCGATGAGGAAAAAAGCACCACGGTATATGCAGTGGGCAGTAATTGATGCCAGGTAATATGACCTACTAACCGGAGTTCCTCGTTCTCAACAGTGTACTTCTCTACGAGTTCGCGGAAGCTGTCCATCTCTTCCACAATCAAGTTCAGTGGGGAAGATTCTTTATTCGCTTTGTTCAACAGATCTGTACCATTCTCAGTGGCGCTCGGAACGTCACCCTGTGCGGCTTGTAACAAACGCGCTTTGGACAAAGCCCATGAGCTAGCTTCTTGATCAGCTAGTAATTGGGCATTCCGAACCTGCGCGTGCAAGAAACCGAAAAATTATCATCAGCATCTGAAATCACAATGCACGAATGCAGGTGTTTTTTCTTCATCCACAGAATATGCCTAAACAGCATTCAATATAACAGATTTGCGAGTTGTTGAGGAATAGAAAAACGAGCATGCACTTGGTTATTTTGTCGATGCGACGGTTCCGTCTGGTTGCCTCCATTGGTTCACCCCGTTATAGTCACATAGGTAAGGTAGTTACCGAACTAGCGCACGGGTCACCTGAATTTTAGTCGTAAAATGTCCCTCCGCAAATCATGGAATCATGATTATACATGATCAAACGAAACTTTGAAGCATAGGAGACTGACAAAGCTTTGTTGAAGTGATATCAAAGATTCACTCCAAACAAGTAATCTGAACAATTACGGGGAAATCGAGATCTAGACAGACTTAAACATACCTTCAACGTATCCACCGTCACTGTCAACGCCTTGACTCTGAGACGCAGTTTATCGTTCTCTGCACGCCAAAATTCCAGCTCGTGGGCGAAGTCAGTCACACCATCCGCACCTTCAGCGGTGGCGATCCGCTTCCCCTATTAAGATGTGGGATAGATAAAGGATCAAAGCACTGTAATCTCACTGAATCAGCATTTTGAAAATTGTTAGGCTAACTACAACTCCCCAAAAATAGCATATTGTAATTGATGAATGAAATAGAACAAGCGAAAACAAGAGCCACAAATGTTCTTGAAAACAAATTGAAAACTGAGGCAACAAATATGAAAAAGAACGCCAAGAGAAACATGTTTCAAGCTCACTTTGGACGTCTGATAAGTATACATATGGTGTTAGCAGAGTCGGTTAGACATCAAAAAGTAATGAGAAGCATGTGCGTCAGCAGTTGGTCAGATATAAAGCTGCTTGGTTGTGATATGAGAAACTGGTCGTTATAAGCGACGGGACGTTGCATAAGGTTTCGCGACAATCATAAATGATGAGTGTTTGTAGAAATTATAATAGAATTGGACAGAGTCACTATTTCTTTCATCGGCCGCACCATCACGTACGAACCAGATTTCCGCAAGCATCTCTCCACCAAGGTCCAAAGATCCATGAGGAGCACATTTTGTACGACACTAACGAATCAGGTCAGACCACGAACTTTCAGTTTCATATGATACAAACATTATTATTACACTTTCGTTCGGCGGTAATGATTGCTGTCTTTTGGCTTCCCATTTGGGATGAAGAAGTAGAAAACTGTCAAAAGATGAAGCAAGAGATTCAGGCAAAGAAACAGTGGTGCAAAGCATTTCGAGTAACTTATTGAGCGAGTTCGATTATCCGGATTGTAAGCAGTCACTAGGTAAATTAGAATGACAGGATTCAGCATTTTATTTTTAATTTATAGATCGAACTAGATTTTGTCTTGAATGCACTTTCACCCGAACACCGCCACGAAAATGTGATGGGAGGCAGCTTCATAGTCTTCTTGCTCAAACCACACCTACGTGATTCGTCAGCTCAAGCCCCATCTTCGGACAACAGATCCGTGTGGTAATGAGGTTCGCCTCTTCTATTGTTTATCACGCTAAGGTGTGCAGTGGGAAAACATGGGCATATATGAATCTACTGACACACTGAACTGCTTCCACGACGAGCTGAATGAAATAAGCCATTGGTCAAATAGGTCGTAGAAGACAAACAAATATCGACCCTAAAGCACGATAGCTCCAAGTACGTACACGCTCCTGATAGAACGGGGCTTTCAGCACTCGGAAGTCCCCATTGTATTAAAAAGACGGAGGGGAGCGTGACTGTACGAACCACATTTTTTTTAAAATATACGCCATCGAAAGTCAAAAAAGGAAAGGATACGTTGCACAGACACGGAGATAACTGGACTCTATGACGTAAAGTGGCCAGTTACATAGAGTTCCGTCAAGACTACAGGTGACAGCGTAGTTGGGTAACATGGTCCAACGACACTCGCCACGTCGCACAGAGAGGACCTCACGGTCAAGATTAAAGAATTTAAAAATCAAGTACATGCTTTAGCATGATTGGTGAATTTCATGCACGAATAATAGCGATGCCGCTAAGCGTTGTTGTGGAGGGTTCCGAATGACTAACAAATGCGCATTGGTTTATAATAACGCACAGTTTTGGCTTAACACGCGCTGACCCGTGGCAGTACATGCGGAACGAGACGCAACGAGGTCAAAATCAGCGACACATCTAGTGGCACTGGAGAAGAAAAAGGAGGAACGGCTAACCCTTGAGACTATTCGACTAACTAGTTTAATCGCCACGACGAAATCGATAAGAATTACACGATGACGAATCTAGATTGAAACAGGAAACAGGTGAACAAAACACAGCATGAAGTTTAAGCACTCACAATCCGTTTACACACTGGTTTGGAAACTAGTCCCAACTTAGATAAAAACGTTGAAACAACTATTCTGCTACTTAGTACTGGCCTTCCCACTCTTAAATCAAATCGATCGATGAATCATTAACCACCCCAGGAAAAACAAAAAACGATAAGCGTATCAGTGAAGAAAGCTCAAGTTAGCTGGTTTCACACATTTTTGTTATGAGCGTATTATTATCACTTACCCAAAGAGTTTGGTTAACTGAATGCGATTTGGATAGATGTTTAAATCAGTAAAATTCAACAGACAAGCACACATGGGCAAAGTCACATGAAACTATCAAGTCCGCATGCCTTTTTCGGACGTCATAGTTCACTGATGAGATAGCTTTCCATAAATACACGTTGCTATTACTCATGACATCATGCAAAAAGAGAAGTTAGTAAAGCAAAATAACACGATTTTTGTTTTGAACGATTTCACTGCATCTCAATTGGTACCTGCTGTTCAGTTCAGTTCAGTTCTTACAACCATTAACCTTGCACTTTCGTGCGCCGGTTTTGGTTGCTGTTTTTCGGTTGCCCATTTGGATAAAATAGCAGAATGATGATTAGAATGTTGACAGAAGATTTCAGCGAAAGGAAGCACATTTTCATAGACTGAAGTTATAAAAATAATGAGTATATGCATGAGCGCCACTGTTTGCGACACCCAGCCATATCGCATACCTACTGTAGAGGAACGTAATATTCATATACCATTCAGAAGCGAATTACAAATGTTGTTATAATAATTGCATAAATTACAAATGTAAATCAGGGAAAGGTAGAAGAACAAAACCAACATAATGAACAAGTCTTTCAGTTGGCATAAAAGAGGGTTCCGCCAACTGATTGCAATCGCTTCGGTGACCTTCCGCATTACAGCATTATCGTTAGTGTAGATCACTCAAAACGATGTCCTTCAATCGTGAGGTGTTGCGTCACCAACCAGTGCTTTGCGGCTGAGAAACTCTATGCATGCCGCCCTAGTAGTAATTGGTTCACTATAAATACGCAGAACTCTTCCAAAACAAAACATAACTCTGGGTTCTGGGTTTAGACCAGTCACCTAACGTGTTGTCCGTTGATCGTTAAGCTCGGGGACGATGATTTTGATTTTCAACCCGAAGGTCTCCGCCTCGAGTCACAGTTGAACCGAAGTGCCGTAACAACGAAGGGATGGCAGTTTACTGCTTTGTGTCGGTCATAGCACACAATTTCACTCCGAAAAATCAAATCGAGCCTACCTTCAAGCTCGTGTTGTTCTTCTTTAGTAAGAAAGTATCTGAGAGTTTCAAGTGGTAAAACAAAACCCAATTTTCTATCCCAATCAAGCCAATGGACCATTGGCGCTGTAATTTTTAAAACTGAATATTTACTTGAAGAGAAATAAGTAAGTCTAAAGGGAGGCTTTTTAAACATTCTGTTCCCAAACATCCACAACACGTTTGAAATATGTACCTCTGCCTATGCAGTAGGGCTATTGTCGTGACACCTTCAAGTGGCAAGTGGTTTGAGGAAGCAAGGCGAAGTTACATTTCACCATTCAACAAGGATCTGTGACAACTTTCGGGTGGAAGACAAAAGATGCCACAATCTCTCAATGATGAGTTTCGCGCTGATGAAGAAAAATCACTTCTCGTGGCTGAAAGGTTGATCTGTGGGTTTGCACGTTTCGATTTATTGCAGATTGCAGTGAGTGAAGTTCGGTTTCATTCATGTGTGGGTAGACATACTTTCCAGTGTCCGGAATAGAGGATGCAACTGGTAATCTTCTCATTCACACTGGTACCCTACTGCGATAAAAACAAATATACTGGCCTGAAAACCTAATGAGATAAAGGGGTTCTTGTCAATAGTCGCTTTCACCTTATTAGTATATTCTGTGGTAAAAAAAATCCCATGATTGATTATATGGTAGAAATCGAATCGGTCGGCAACAAACATGTGTATCGAAGGTTCTTAAATGAATCGCTTCACGCTGGTGAATGGGTGAATACATATTTGATTAAATTCGCAACATTAATTGCCCAGCAGGTTTAACTTCGCTTTTCCTGACCAACGAAAGCGATTTCATAGAAAAGTGCCATAAACACATGATAACTTGACTCAACTCGTCTTGGAGCGGAAAAAGTATCACCACTTTCCCCACCGAGTGCAAATAATATCAAAGAAATCACAGGGTCATTGACGCAACAATGTATCAAAGCGCATGACTGCATAGAGTAACCACAGTCTTTCGCGATACTATACAGCTGATTGGAACCCTTGTCGAAGTTTGAAACAGAAAGGATCAACTTACTTGCTTGTATTCGTCTAGTTCCTCTTGAAGTGCGGCTAGCTGCGCACGCAGAGTTGCTAACTGCTTGCTTGTCTTGTCCTGATTCATAATAACCCGATTTCGAATATTTCGTGCCCGATTGGCGTACTTCAGTGTGTTCAATGTTTCCACAAAGTCACAATCAGACGGACTGATACAGGCGATCATGATTGTCCGCGAATTGCCTCCGAGGGAATCTTGAAGTAACCGAGTTAGTTTTGAGTCTCGATAAGGGACATGACAGCCACGCTTCGCTTTATCACCCAAAGCGGATATCACATTACCAAGCGCAAGCTGAAATGATGAATAGATGATAGGGTGTTGGTGACCCCTTCAACTTAAACATTTGAAACTGTTTTATTCTGTGGTTAAAAAGATAGTTTTGGAACAAATATTGAATACCAATAGATATATGTAATCTATCGACAGCAACAGAAATGTCGAGTATTGCGTTATGAAAGCACAGAAAAAATTTCGGTTCAGGACGGTGAACGAACAAGACATTTTAATCAACTCCTTGAAGTTCTACTTTCTTGTAATATATAACTTAATGAAGAGTAGAAGTGATGATAACTAATCGGAGGTACTCTTTTCGTAAAAAAACTACGTCTGTGTAAAAGAGTACGGCTTTTAGTTGATCGCAAAATTTCGGAATGGCAATTTCTTCTTTTTAGTCCGTCTCATGCGTCGAGTCATTCGCTTACAAAAGTTTCATTATGCCCATCCAAAGTGAAATCTCCAGCGCCTGTGGTACGGCCATATCAAAAACTAGTTTCAGTTTGTACAATCGTTAAACATACATTTTCGTGTCCCCGTTTTGGTTTATTTCTCATGAATGCCCATTGGAATGAAGGAGTAAGGGGAATATCGGAATGTATAAACCAGTGTCCAAAACCAACTATAATAACAATATTTTAAAAAATAATAATAATAATAATCGCTATAACAATGATCCATTTCTCTCATTTGAACACAACCGTGCACGTAATGAGTGGGAAAGACGAAGTGTTGAAGGGCTATCGCGAGAATGAGTGTAGTCAGTCAACCATAGTCCGGTTACCTCAAACACCAATTCTGGACCGATATGAACGTGATCTATCTCGACCAACGAACTCACTACAGATTGACGGGTAACATTTGAACCACTAATGAACTAACCAGACTAGTTTGATGGGATTATGACAGAATAGAAGAGCTTAAAATAAACCCGAAAATACACAACATTACTTACCAAACCTCGGTTTATAGAAATCCCTTCCTTTGCTCTGTCACCGGTAGCACCTGTGCGCTTGAGACGTTCACTACCGGCCAGATCGACAAAATGAAATTTAGCTGTGAGTGTTTCGAATTCGGGAACCGGATCGACCCCGGATGCGTCAGATTCTTGGTCCCCTTGAAACGGTTCTTCTGGCTTAGGTCCATTTGATTCCTGCAATAGAGGCAAAAGGAAAAAACCAATATTGCTGTCGCTGATAGGAGACTAATCACGGTGAAAAGAATATAAAAGATGAACCCTGACTTGAGTTCACGAGACCGTGGAATGGACATGCCTGTGCTCTGAGAAAAAATAACAAGGAAGCAGAAACTTATATTAGAGTAGGTCGGAACCTTGCACACTATTTCACAAGTGATAAGGAAGTCTTGTTCTCAACCTAAAAGCAGTGTTTTTCCCATTTTTGTCACTGTTTCACCTTTAGGTGCCAAAGAGCGTCTTTACCGCACCAACGGTCCTACTTATCTCTACTGAACAGTTTCGATCTAATTTGCAGGGTCATCAATAGACCACCTGAAAACTACATACGGGTACATGAGTTAGTTAACCAAATCAGCTTGGGTTAAGCTCGAAACAACGTCACTTGGAGACTTACCTTCTTTCTTCTTAGCCCACTAAGTGTCGACCGTTGTGGGGCTCGTATTAGGATTGCATCTTTTGGATACTTGGTAGTGTATTAAATGCATGGTTGACGCTAATCGTTTGTTTCGTTGGGTCACAATAAAAGGGTGGATAGAAGGAAATCTCCATTTATATGCTATACGTTACAAAAACATAGAGGACTCGGTCTGTGTTGAGTTTGTTGAAGTAAGCGACATTTAACCGACGGAATCAGCTTAGAATAAGGCGAAAAACGCTATTATTCCATTCTAAATTTCCGCAATTCCTTTACAACCAAACCAACCCGGATTGATCAAATTGGGTTTGATAGTAACGCAAGCTATTATCGTACAGAAACACAAAACGGATTTCAACCGTGGTCACGGTTAACCAATTTATCATAGAAAATGCTCCTGTAAGTGCGTAGCATCATCAACTCTACCATGAGTGCTATCCACCTGGTGCACTCCGGATCACTCAGCATAGGCTGCGTGCGTTAGTTGTGCCGCAGATCTGTCAGGTGATTCGTTGATCACCGCGGTCTCGCGGTCAACGAACATCGGTGGGATTGCAAGATTTGGGGAATTCGACGAAAGATCTCTGACAAACGGACGAGACGAGTCTTGTGTGCTACTTCAAATCAGACAATAACTGTGCACAAGTAACGGTGATTATCAAGCGTATGTGAGTGTGTGAAGCGCACAGTAGCTGATACAATTCAGGAAGATGAATCTAATACCAAGGATAACAAACCGACATATGGCTTATCAAGTTGAGTAAGTTAAGTCAAATGGGCTTTAGAATGGATCGATATGATATTCAACGATGCGAAAAAACGTAAACTCTACGTTCCCAACGGATGCGGGTGCTACTGGCATGACCTGAACGAGAACCAGATAACCTTTAGTCACCAAGTCTGCAACGGGCCTTTTTCATGGATTGAAAGTCGTAGTTGGTAATTTTCGAAGGAAGTCAGACATCACAATCTAGAACGGGCTTCTTCTTCCCGCGATTTAAGAAAACCTATTGGGACCCACGATTCTGCAACATGATAGCACCACTATATAAGCATAATCCATCTTACTGGCATGTAGCTGCCTCAAGGAAACATGCATTGGATGACCTCTAGTCCGAACTTGAATCTCAGTGAAAATGGCTGTGGTCTATGGGAGAGGCGGGTTTACACTTATGGAAAAGTATCTCACAGTTTCCAGGATGACAGTACACGAGGGAACGCTTTCACAGTGGACGATCCGGAACCTAAACAGAAACATGCCTGAGCATGGATTCAATTATGAATAATAGAGGTCGCTGTGTTTTATAACTGTCTGGATATTTTTATCAACCTCCCGGGGCGAAGGATTAATGACACTTTGAAGCTCCCCAGTGACATATTCCTTAAGATAAAATAGGTTTTGTAAGGTTATGATTAAAATCCGTTGAGTTTTCCCGTATTATATTACCTTGTACTACTGTCATCATGTAATTTGACCAAACCGGGTGTTGCTTGTTGAGAATTTGCAAAAGGGAGGGGGTTAGAAACATTTTACACAAAGCATCGGTGTGTCAAAATTAAGAAAGCAGGA